ATGGTAAAATGTTTAAACAATATTATAAGATAAAATAACAATGGAAATGAATCAAGTAGTATGTCACATTTAATTACATCAAATAATGGCAAATAAATACATCGTAGAAACAAAACAAAATTATTTTCAACTTTAAGAAAATCACATAATAATCAAAGGCAAATACGGCCATAAATCAATATCAACAAGAGCACTCCCGAGGTACCGCCTCGTAGTCTCAAATCATAAACAAATTCACAATATCTCATTTCCTTATCTCACCGCGGGAGCCTTCACAATTTATTTGAAAGAAAATATTTTTTCCGAAATAGCATCTCGCGTTTTAGCCATACTTATCACACCGCATGACTTCTAGTAGTCCCCCTAGTAGCCACGCGTATCAAGGCATCTCACTGCATGCGTTTCAATACCCAGACCTTATATCACCGCATGCGTATCAATATCACAATATATCATAATTTGCACCTCAAGTGCTCAAATAATTTAACTTGCCAAAATAATTCAACAATAATATTTTTTTAACAATAAAGAGCTCACGGCTCATGCCAAAATAAATCATCAATAATATTTTTCCACAATAAAGAGCTCACGGCTCATGTCAAAATAATTCAACAATAATATTTTCCGCAATAAAGAGCTCACTGCTCCATCACAATGAGTACGAAAATCTTACAAAAATATTTAGGAGTAAATAATTCAGAAAAATAATATTTTAAAATTTTTAATACGTTGCTTCAATATCAAGTTTAAAAATGTCAAATATTTCATATTAATAATATTTAATTTAAAGAAAATCAACCTTCAAATAATGCACAGAATAAAAGAAACAAAGTTCCAACTAAACAGATAAAATAAATAGCAGGAAAAGGTCAAGCAAATTTTAAAATATAAACATTAAATCAATAATGAAGAATATAACAAAATGAAATAATTTAATTAATGCGCAACAGTGATCTACACAATTTAAAATATAATCTTTCACATTTAGCCCGTGTACACACTCGTCACCTCGTGTACACGACTTTTCACACATTACAATTATCAATCCTAGGAGAATTTCCCCCACACAAGGTTAGACAAGTCACTTACCTCGACTTGCTCCATTTAACCAAGTATTATGCTTTTTCCTCGATTTTCCGACTCATATCTAGTCATAATTAATTCGATACAGTCAACAAAAATTATAGTAATCAATTTCATAAGAAAATATTATATTTTTTAATAAAATCCGAAATTAGCTCAAAATTTGTCCGTGGGACCCACATCTCGGAATCCGGTGAACCTTAAAAAATCCGCCAACCCATTCAATTACGAGTCCACCCATACCAATTTTATCAAATTCCGATAACAACTCGACCTCCAAATCTTAAATTTTTGTTTTTGAAAGATTTTGCAAAAAATCTTGATTTTTCTTCCATAAATTCACGGATTCATGATGTAAATGAGTATGAAATCATGAAATATAAACAATATAGGATAAGGAACACTTACCCCAATATTTTCTCGTGAAAATCGCCCAAAAATCGCCCAAGAACCGTGCTCCAAAAATCCAAAATGAAATGAAGGAAATAACTATTTTTGGTCCTTAAGTTTATGTACAAATATCCAAATGATAAATCGTTTAACTTTATGGAAACTAAAATCAAACGACTACAACTTTCGTGTTTTGCAAATATTTCGATTCCTTATAAATTGCGAGATATAAGCTTCCAAAGACGGCACCACGCATCGGAATTTCTGGCGAAACTGTTCTACCAGACTTCATTCAATCCATCATAACTTTCTGTACATATGTCCAAATAATGAATGGTTTAACTTGCTGGAAACTAGAATCAAACGACTACAACTTTCATGTTTTGAAAATTTTCCGATTCCTTATGAATTACGAGATATAAGCTTCCAAAATTGGCTCTACGCACCAGAATGTTCTGCAAATTTCCAGCAACCCTCTTTGTCCGAAATCCATTCCGTTTACCTTCCGAAATCCACCCGAGACCCTCGGGACCTTAACCAATTATTGAAACATGTCCCAAAATAAAATACGAACTTAGTCGAGGCTTCAAACCACATCAAACAACATCAAAACGACGAATCGCACTTCAAATCAAAATCTATGAACTTTGAACTTTTAAATTCTATATCTTGTGCCGAAACACATCAAATCAATTCGGAATAATTTTAAATTTCGCACACAAGTTATAAATGATATAACAGACCTATTTCAGTTTCCAGAATCGGATTCCGACCTCGATATCAAAAAGTCAAACCACCGGTCAAACTTCCCAAAAATTCAACTTTTGGCATTTCAAGCCTAATTTCATTACGGACTTTCAAATAAAATTTCAATTATGCTCCTAAGTCCAAAATTACCATATGGAGCTGTTGGAATTATCAAAATTCTATTCCGGGGTCGTTTGCACATAATTTGACATCCGGTCACTATTTGAACTTAAACTTTAATTTTTTATCAAAATTTCATATCTCGGGCTAGGGACCTCGGAATTTGATTTCGGGCATATGCCTAAGTCTCAAATCACGATACGAACCTACCGGAACTGTCAAAACACTTATCCGACTCCGTTTGTTAAAAATCTTGACCAAAGTCAACTCAATTGAGTTTTAAAGCTCTAATTCACATTTTAATTCATTTTTTACCTTAAAACTTTTTGAAAAATTTTACGGACTGCGCACGCAAGTCGAGGAATGATAAATAGTGCTTTTTGAGGTCTTAGAATATAAAATTTATTATTAAATTTAAATATGATATTTTGGGTCATCACAATTTGCAAAATAGAAAAAGAGAAAGTAGAACTTAATGGTTTGCTTTATGCAATATTAATAACAAGTTCATAAAAAAACTATTCGATTTCTAATTTTAATAAACTTAAATTATAATTCATAATAAAGATATAAAAAGGTTATAGGTAAATCACTTAGGTAAAAAGAATAACACATCATATATAATATTTAAAAAATTTACCTCAAGAGGGGAATGAAAATATCAAGGGCAAAATAGACATTGCATCGAATAGGAGCAGAATAATGTTTATTGTTTAAACTTGGAGAAGGAGTTTGATTTTACAGCAAAGTTGGGGATGTAAATAAATTTCAGCAAAAAACGGTATGAATAAAGATTATTTCACGATTAGTACTGCACAAGGCGGAGTTACATGGTCCAAATAAATTTAATAGAATCTTTTTCGTCAGAAATTATATAGCTCAAATAGGATAATTAAAAAAAAAAAGAGAAGATCTTTATACATAAGAAATTTATTTTATCTTAGTAAAGACCCGATTAAAAAAGTATTTTAGGTTGTTGGTTCAAATTTTAAGTTTTGCATTCTTGTGTATTTGTTTTAAATCCTTTTTTTAAAACTCATAAGTCTACAATCATGAGTGCTCCTGGGTGGCTCAAAAGTCTGCCATCATAAGTCTACCGAAGGAAAAGTCACACAAATCAATGGTGAATTAAAAAATGGACAAAGATTATTATTAGCTTGGCGAGAAACTATTTATAGCTTATTTATAGATGTAAGAATAGGTGAAGTTCACCAAGTATTCTTGAATATGTAAATGAGTTTAAATTTTATACACGATAATCGGTACAAAAGAAAAGTATTTATACAATTAAGTTATTAGAAAAAAATAGACACTGTCTCTTCAAGGACAATGAATTTATTCACGCTTCATAGCTTTCTTTCTAATATTATTTTCTAACATTTGGAAAACTACCAGATTTTGGGTTTTCTTCTTAATTAGCTTTTTTGACCGAAGATGTCCCACTCATACATTCGTTATATTGACTCTGGTCCAAGTGCGTTAGAAGCACTACTGCAACGCAGAATAAAATGGGTATTTTAGGTGGGATTAGTTTTTTCATCACAACTACAATTTAACATATCACCAAAAAAACAAATCTTCTCTATACTTGAAACAAACAGTGCGGCACGTTAAATTTGCAATATCCAGAAATGAAGAAGGTTGCTGTTTTCTATTGTCTTCTTGTAATAATTCTCATGTTATCAATGGATGAGTGGTGTCTGCAAAGCCAAGCCAGGATCTTGGAGTTGTCCCCTATAAAATCCCAAGGTAAATGTTAGTTAAAGAGTAGGACCAACTCATTTAAAAGTTTATGTTTTAAGAAAGAATTTATTTTTAGTTATTTAATTATATCTTGTTTATTTCTACATATGCCAAAAGAAGTCAGGAATGATTTAATCCGAGGTCGCAGTAACAGGGTGACTTGGAGCAATACCAATCCTTCACCATATCCAAATATGAGAAGTCATTAGTATGATTCTAAGAGACCCTTAATTTACTGATTTCATTCATTTTTCTTTCTTTCTTCTTCATCTACTACTTCTTCTTTTATTTTATTCCTGAAAAATTGCTAAACTGTAAACTCCCTCATGTGTGCGCAGACGATGTGGTGACAATTGCTTTTAGGGCTGCTGAGGATGGGCATGGGAAATACTTCCGGAAATTTGGGATGAGATGGAACAAAATGGCATCTACAGGCTGTTTGAGTTTTGAAATGTTACGTTTACTATAAATCGGAAAAGGATAATATTTAATTACCCCTCTGTTACAATGTTTAAATATAACCTCAGTCTGAGTATTCGATTGTAAATTGCCTCACCATTACACATCTATATATTTATTTATATATAAAGCTGAGAATTAGCAAGGTGATGTCTTATTGGAAAAATTTTGCGAAACTTAATCACTTTTTTTATTGTTCCAATATATCACAATAAACACTAAAAAAGTAAAAGACAAGATTATAGTTCATTTAGTAAAAGTCAAAACTCAAAATAAACTATTCAAGAAAACGTCCATGACGCTTATGGGATATCCAATACCTCATCTTCATGAAACACATTTGAATCCACTTGAGACAAGGTTGTCTTAACATCTTTACTTTTATCTACATCTACAATTCATATGCAATATTAATTAGTTAATTATTAAGAATAATTGAATTTTAAAACTAATAATATTCAAATTCACATAAAAAAATATTACCAGTTTGAATGTGGGAAAAGTCGTACAACCAATTTCGAGTAGTAATAAGTGTTTGGACATTTTCATGATGGATGCAACTTCTGTACTTTGACAGAACACGCCCACCAATGCTAAATGTTGATTCCGATTCTACAGTGGTAATAGGAATACTAAGTACATCACGCGCCATCACTGAAAGATCGGGATATTTTCTAGAATGGTCCATCCAATACATGACAACATCCATCTCTTGGAACTTCTCAAGATCAAGCTTTGGTTCCACTAATTAAAGATCCAATTCTTACTTTGCATCGCTGGAGGCAGTATACTTTTTATATTTTATATATTTTAAATAATTATTTTTATTAGGCCCATGGGCCGGCCCAGCCCAACCTCAGTCAAGCCTCACGGGCCACAGGCTTATTCGGGCCAGGCTTAAAAGCCTCATTTTTAAATGTGGCTCAAAAACTCTAGCCTAACCCTGCTAAATCACGGGCTGGGTTGAGCTGGCCCAATGGGCCAAGCCTATATTGACAACCCTACGCATCTCATTCAATTCCTTATTAATTAATAAACAACCGTTAGACCATCTCCAACCCAACACCAATTTTGACACCAAACACCATTTTAGTGTAAGATTTGGTATTTTTTTACTCCAACCTAACATTATTTCTTATACCATTTTGGTGTGTGAATAGTGTTACACTAAATTTGGTATAACACTATTCATCAATACCATTATTATTCATCATTATTTTATTATTATCTTTTATTATATAACACTTTTAATTTAACATATTATAATTTTATAATTACATATAGTTTTTATGTAATATCTTTACAATATTAATTTTATATTTTAATTTTGGTGTATAATTTTTAAAAATTAATTTTTGTATATTTTATTTTTATATAAAATTATAAGTTATAATTGTATAAAAATATATAACCAACAAAAAAATAAAAAGTACAAATTTGAAATATAATATGTTGTTAATAAATAACACAATTTTCATTGATTATCATAAAAAATAAATATTTAATACAGTAGCGACTGATATAGATTAAAATTGAAAATACATTAAATAACATAATGGGATGAGAAAATTACAACAATAATCTAGTACTATGGAAGGCCGCTTCCAGATCCACCAATATCATTAAAATATTGAGTGTATGGGGCAAAGGATTATTGTGGTTGTGACTGTTGAAATTGTTGACTTCTTTTATCCGTATTCGTTTTTGTTCTTGTCGAATAAATTCACGAATATTTGGATCATCAATAGAATCTATTTTTCTCTTCAATTTTGCTTTCTTCACCCCAATAGGTCATTGTGATAATGTGGAATCACCTGCAAAATCCTCATTTAAATTTAGTAGAAATGGTAGTAGATGAAAATTACCGATTTGAATAATTTTTAGACCGGCACAAAAATATTAAAGACAAAGATGCTCATTTTGCACTTTATAATGCATTAATGGAGCATTTATGGGAGTGACATACTAATCTTGTAAGTTGAATATTTATGTAAAAATTCGACAATAAATTTTACCATAATGTAATATTTATTTTATTTTATCTTATCAATGAGTTTATTTTTATTTGAATTATACATTAATATGTATAATGTATAATATTTACTTATAATTTATATTAGTTAAAAATCAAAGGTATAAAATAATTTTATATTAAATAGTTATATAAAAAAGAAATATGAATTATATGTGATAAATATGTAAAAAAAGAAAAAAGAAAGGATTTCTTTTATAAAGAAAATAATATAATATAGAAGAGAGAGAGGAATATAAAAGGAATATTCCTTTTTGATATAAATAATAGTGTAATGGGTTAGAGTTAATTTGCACCATTTTGGTATAAAAAATGGTGCAAGGGTTGGAGATGCCCTTACGTCTTTCACTGGGAGTCCAAAACGTTACCTCAAAGCACGATAAAAGGGATCCGAATCCTCTCCATTTTCCCAAGTTCTAGTTTAGATTAGGGGCACATGGCATAAGTTAAAATTAATGGCTAAGATTTAATTGATTAGATCAATACCCTAAACATGATTTAAACAATTAATAACTTGTCCATAAATATATTAAAATTTTTTTCTCTCTTGTTGAAGTTGTTCAGTGTATTTTTTTTTTTTTGGAATCAAAGTTAATAAATAATCCCTGTAATTTTGTTCTTTCATGGAGTCCAAGTAAAAAACAAACATTATAACGATCTCTAGTCTCTCGGGCTCACAATGCTCATACTAAGCAGCCCTAATCAATGATGCGAGATGTGACAATATACAATATCAGAGGCTGAGATATGAAATGAAATGATGAATGCGACTGAGTACATAACTATAATTAAGCAAATAACTCAACAACAAAGAACGACCACTGTAGGTCCCAATAGTGCCAGCATATAGCCTAAACATGATTTCTAACATAAATTACAGCTCAAGTGCTCTAACCCATAATGTACAGTAAAAATGTTTAGATAAGATAGCTACACAGTTTCGTGGAATCTACTAAATTACCATTTCTACGGTGCATGCCCACACGCCCATCACCTAGTATGCGCGTTACCTCAACATCAATTACATAATACGTAATTCGGGGTTTCATACCCTCAACACCAAGTTTAGAAGTATTACTTATCTCAAATCGCACAAATCTCTACTAAAACACACCTTTGCCTCGCGAAACAGCCTCTGAATGCCTCGAACCTAGCCACAAAAATTTCGATACGATCAACTCAAGCTATAGGAATCAATTCCATATAAAAATGCTAAATTCTTAATCAAAAGTCAAAAAGTCAACTCAAAAGTCACCCCCGGGCCTACGCCTCAGAATCTGAAAAAAGTCACAAAATCTGAACACCCATTCAACCACGAGTCCACCCATACTAAAATTCCTCAAATTCTATATGAAAATCTAGATCAATTCCTCAAAATTTGGCCTAAGAACTTTCCTCCATTTCCCCCCAATTTTCCACCCCAAATCACTAATTAAATGATAAAATCAAAGACATAAACATGGAATTTAACCAAAACTAAGTAAGAATCACTTACCCCAATCACCCACTTGAAACTCTCTCCAAGAATCGCCTCCCACCGAGTTCCCAAAAGCAAATTGTGAAAATGAACTCAAACCCTCGTTTTGAAATATTTAAGTTTCTGCCCAGTCATCCTTCATCGCGATCGCGGCAAATCCCACGTGATCGCAAAGCACAAAATGTTGCTCCCACAAATTAACCTTATGCGAACGCGGAGTCCTCCATGTGAACGCGAAACTCTGCTCCTTCAGAGGTACGCGATCACGTCCACCCTCACGCGATCGCAAAGCATAACTGCGTGTGAACCAACTTCCCCTCTCGTCTTCGCGAACGTGGCTATGCCCTCGTGTTCGCGATGCACAGCCTGGCCAACCTACACGATCGCGTACCCCCTCTTGTGAGTGCATAGAGTAAAAATCACCACTGCCCCAAACAAGCCTACACGATCGCGGACCTATCCACACGATCGCGTATAAAGAAACCAGATATAGACATTAGCAAATCTTCAGCCATAACACCAAGTCCAAAATTAATCTGTTACCCATCCGAAACTCACTCGAGGCCTCCGGGACCTCAATCAAATGTACCAACAAGTCCCAAAATATCATACGAACTTAGTCGAGCCCTCAAATCACATCAAACAACATCCAAAACATGAATCACACCCCGATTCAAGCCTATCTCAACTAAGGAATTCCAACTTCTACAAACGACGCTGAAACCTATCAAATCACATTCGATTGACCTCAAAGTTTGCACAAAAGTCACAAATGACACCACAGACCTACTCCAACTCCTGGAACCCCAATCGGAGCCCGGTAACCATAAAGTCCACTCTCGATCAAACTTCCAGATTTCCAATTTTCGCCATTTCAAGCCTAATTCAACTATGGACCTACAAATCACAATTCGAACACACTCCTAAGAAGAAAATCACCCGACGAAGCTAACAGAACTATCAAAACTCCATTCCGAAGTCGTTTACACATAAGTCAACATCTGGTCAACCATTTCAACTTAAGCTTCCTATCTTGAGACTAAGTGTCTCAACTCATTTCGAAATCTTTCCGGACCCAAACCAACTACTCCAACAAGCTACATAACAACTATAAAGTATAAAATGAGCAGTAAATGGGGGGAACGGGGCTACAACTTTCAAAACGACCGACCAGGTCGTTACATCCTCCCCCTCTTAAATAAATATTCATCTTCGAACGGGTCTAGAAATATACTTGGAGTCTCAAATGGGCGTAGATATCTGCTCCGAATCTCCCGCTCGGTCTCCCAAGTAGCCTCCTCAAATGGCTGACCTCTCCACTACACCTTTACTGAAGCTATGTCCTTTGACCTCAACTTTCGAACCCGTCGATCCATAATTGTAACCGGCTCCACATCATAAGTCAAATCACTATCTAACTAAACCGTGCTGAAATCCAAAACATGAGATGGATCATCGACATACTTCCGGAGTATAGAAACATGAAATACTGGATACACACTCGACAAACTAGGCGGCAAGGCAAGCTTGTAAGCCACCGTTCCAATCCTCTAAAGTACCTCAAACGGCCCAATA